ATAGATAGATAGATAGATAGATAGATAGATAGATAGATAGATAGATAGATAAAATAAACTATAAAAAAAAAAAACCTCTGCCCATAAGACTTGCCTTTTGTTGTTGCTGTCGTTGTTGTTCCGGAACTACTGTGGGCCCTTTTCTACCACAGTGTCACCTAAGCTTTTGTGGGTCTCTGGGCTTCAGGAGCTCTGTTGTGGTGCACGGACAGGAACTTGGACTCTGCCCTCTCTGGTAAACTTCTGTTCTTAATGGCATGCTCCATACTCCAAATGCAAAATTAATTCAATAGGATTTTTGAAAGTTCTTTGTCTCATGTGTTTGCAGGGCATGTGTGTGTGTGTGTGTGTGTGTGTGTGTGTGTGTGTGTGTGTGTGTTAGTGTACAGGTGATTCAGCTGCCTGCCTTCAGGGTCCTAGCAATCATCTTACTTCATCACCTGCTGCCACCTCCAGGTACACCACCTGTGTGCAGGGATAAAAAAAAAAGACACCTCAGCTTTCCCTCTCTCTCTCCTCTCTGCCTCTCTCCCTCCATCGCCCCTCTGCTTCTTCCTGCTGTTTCACTCTTTCTTTCTCTCTTTCTTTATACACCCCCCTCTCTATGTCTTCATAAATCACTAACTGTCCCTGCCCTCCACCAGCCCTCACTCCTCTTTTCTACAATAAACTCCTTTATACCTGATCTGTTGTGTGGTGTGTAATTCTTCAGGGGAAAAAACTTGGAGTGACCCATCATGGTGCCCCTGCTGCCTCAATATACAACAATGTGTGGGCATTTTCATTGGTTCTTTTTCCTCTGTTGATTTTGTCCTATTTTTATTTTGTTTTATTGTATTATTCCTTAGATGTCTAACAATCGATAGAAAAGCAGTTGATCCAGATGGGAGCATAGGTTAGGAGGAACTGGGAGGATTTAAATATTTTATATGAAAAAAATAAACATTTTCAAGAAAAGAAAATAGAAAGAAGTGTAAACTACAGATAAATTTATTGTTTGAAATTTTCATTTAAAAATTACCTTTTGTGATTTTTTTTTGTTAGGTGTATCTGATTACAACAAATACACTGAGTTTAGCCCTTCTTCCAAACATCCATTCTCTAACTTGAACTTGACTGATTTTCAAATAAGAGAACCTGTACTGTCAGCAAAATTAAGCTTTAAAATATCATTTGTAGATTGACATTTGCCATAAGGTAAAATACCAAATATCTTAATAAAACTACGAAGCCTGTGTCTGAAACCTCTCCCTGCAATTCTTTCCTCCGTTGTCATGTCACACAAACTTTGAGTTACTTATATTTAACCAGTCCCTATCAGTGCCTCAGGTTCAACATGCAGTATATTCTGTGCTGTATACTTGGAAGTTTTTGTCTCTCTTTTCCTAGTTACCTCTTATTTCTCATGTAGATTATATTTGGTGGTTAATTCTTTATATATTTACCCAGGGTTATTTTAGGACTATGTCTGATGTCTCAACTATCTGTACTTTCCTTCTTATTCTTTTTCATAACACTTTGAGAAATAACCTCTTTTGCTCTCTTTCAGTTGAGTTGAATCTCTACAATCTCTTGCAGTGATGAGGTAAGATAATAAAGAAGAAAGAAACATTTCAAGAGGTTAGCTTTTGGTGTGATACTCACACATCACAGGCACACACATACACATGGGTTGGAGATGTGTTTAAAGAATGGGCATTCTTTTCTCATGTTTTCTCTTCTTTTTCACAGCACTTTAAAAACTGAGTAGCTCTAGTTCTTCATGTCATAAAATCCTGGGGAAAAAAATCACAGTAGCAACCAATCACAGTTTCAGGAATTTTAAATCACAACAATAGTTGATTCTTGGTGAGCTATGTCCCTTATCAATAAACAGACTTTTTATAACTGACTTGTTAAAATGACCCAAATTATGTACAATAAACTTGAAATAATTTTTACTATGATTTGAGAGCTTTTAAATATTATGTTATTTTGTAATAATTTCTCCCCCTCCTCCTCCCCTTCCTTCTGTTGGCTTTGGCTTTTTTCCAAGACAATGTTAGTCTGTGTAGTTTTGGCTGTCCTGGATTCTCTTTGTAGACAAGCCTGGCCTTGAACTTACAGAGATTCCTCTGCCTCTGCCTCCCAGAGTACTGGGATGATAGGTATACAGATAGGTGTACAATAAGACAGTTGAAGGATATCAAGGGGATACAAATTGGAAAAGAAGAAGTCAAAGTATCACTGTTTGCAGATGATATGATAGTATGCCTGAGTGACCCCAAAAATTCTTCCAAGGAACTCCTACAGCTGATAAACACTTCAGCAAAGTGGCTGGATATAAAATTAAACAAAAAAAAAATCAGAAGCCCTCCTGTATACAAAAGACAAAAAGGCTGAGAAAGAAATTAGGGAAACAACACCCTTCACAATAGCCACAAATGACATAAAATACCTTGGTGTAACCCTAACCAAGCAAGTCAAAGACTTGTATGAAAAAAAAATTTCAACTCTCTGAAGAAAGAATTAGAAGAAGATATCAGAAGATGGAAAGATCTCCCATGCTCATGGATTGGCAGGATTAACCTAGTAAAAATGGTCATCTTACCAAAAGCAATCTATGGATTTAATGCAATTCCCATCAAATTACGAACACAATTCTTTACAGACCTGGAAAGAAAAATTCTCAACTTCATGTGGAATAACAAGAAACCGAGAATTGCTAAAACAATCCTCTACAATACAAGATCTTCTGGAGGTATCCCCATCCCGTATCATAAGCTGTACTATAGAGCAACAGTAATAAAAAAAAAAAAGCCTGGTACTGGCATAGAAACCAAAGCGTGGATCGACAGAACTGAATAGAAGACCCAAAAATAAATGCACACACCTATGGGTACTTGTTTTTTTTGACAAAGAAGACCATACCATACAATGGAAAAAAGACACTATCTTCAACAAATGGTGCTGGACTAACTGGATGTCTACCTGTAGAAAAATGCAAATAGATCTATGTTTATCACCCTGAACAAAAATGAAATCCAAGTGGATCTAAGACCTCAACATAAAACCAAACACACTAAATCTGTTAGAAGAAAAAGTGGGGAAGAGCTGTGACCTCACTGGCCCAGGAGACAATTTCCTAAACAGAACACCAACAGCACAGGCTCTAAGAGCAACAATCAATAAATGGGACCTCATGAAACTGAAAAGCTTCTGTAAAGCAAAGGAAACCATCATCAAAGCAAAGCAAATGCCTACAGATTGGGAAAGGATCTTCACCAACCCTCTATCTGAAAGAGGGCTAATATCCAGTATATATAAAGAACTAAAGAAGCTGAAAAGCAACAAACCAAGTAATCCAATTAAAAAAATGGAGAACAGAGCTAAACAGAGAACTCTCTGTAGAGGAATATCGAATAGCAGAGAAACACTTAAAGAAATGTTCAACCTCCTTATCCATCAGGGAAATGCATATCAAAATGACCCTAAGATTTCACCTTACACCCATCAGAATGGCCAAGATGAAAAACTCAAGGGACAACACATGCTGGAGAGGTTGTGGGGAAAGGGGATCCCTCTTCCACTGCTGGTAGGAATGTATACTTGTACAGCCACTCTGGAAATCAATCTGACACTTTCTCAGACAACTAGGAATAGTGCTTCCTCAAGATCCAGCCATATCACTCCTAGGCATTTATCCAAAAGAGGCTCAAGTAAACAATAAGGACATTTGCTCAACCATGTTTGTAGCAGCTTTATTCGTAATAGCCAGAAGCTGGAAACAAGCCAAATGCCCCTCAACTGAAGAATGAATACAGAAATTGTGGTACATCTACACAATGGAATATTACTCAGCAATGAAAAACAAGGAAATCATGAAATTTGCAGGTAAATGGTGGAATGTGGAAAAGATCATCCTGAGAGAGATCTTCCAGAAGCAGAAAGACACACACGGTATATACTCACTCATATAGACATATAATATAGGATAAACCTTCTAAAATCTGTACACCTGAAGAAACTAATCAAGAGGGAGGACCCTGAATAAAATGCTCAATCCCCATCCCAAAAGGCAAAGAGGAAGGACATCAGAAGAAAAAGAAAATAGGAAACAACCTCGGAACCTGCTACAGAGGGCCTCTGAAAGCCAGAAGAAAACAGGAAACAACCTTGAAACCTGCCACAAAGAGCCTCTGAAAGCTTCTGCAGTATAGACTGTCAAAGCAGATGCTGAGCCTGATGGCCAACTGATGGGCAGAGTGAATGGAATTTTATGTAAGAAGTGGGAAATAGTAAGAGCTGGAGGGGATGGGAACTCCACAAGGAGAGCAACAGAACAAGATAATTTGAACACAGGGAACTTCCCAGAAAATCATACTCCAACCTAGGACTATTCGTGGAGATGACCTGGAACCCCTGCACAGGTGTAGCCCATGGCAGTTCAGTGTCCAAGTGGGGTACATAGTAATAGGAAGAGGGACTGCCTCTGACATAATCTGATTGGCTTGCTCATTGATCACTTCCCCCTGAGGGGGGAGCATCCTTACCAGGCCACAGTAGAGGACAATGCAGCCACTTTTGATGAGAACTGATAGACTAAGATCAGAAAGAAGAGGAGAACCTCCCCTATCAGTGGACTTGGGGAGTGGCATGCATGCAGAAAGGGGAGGGAGGGTGAGATCGGGAGGGGAGGAGGGAGGGGCTTATGGGGGGATACAAAATGAATAAAGTATAATTAATAAAAAATTTTAAAAAAAGAGGGAGGACTCTGGCTAAAATGCTCAATCCCCATCTAGAAAGGCAAAGAAGATGGTCATCAGAAGAAGGAGAAAACAGGAAACAAGTTAGGATCCTGCCACAGAGGGCCTCTGAAAGCTGCCCTGCTGACTATCGAAGCAGTTGCTGAGACTTATGGCCAGCCTTTGGGCATAATGCAGAAAATCTTATGAAAGAAGTGAGAAATAGGAAGATCTGGAGAGGACAGAAACTCCACAAGGGAGAAAAAGAACCAAAAATATCTGAGCACAAGGCTCTTCCCTGAGATTGATACTCCAACCAAGTAGCATGTATGGAGATAACCTAGAGCCCCTGCACGGATGTAGCCCATGGCAGCTCAGTCTCCAAGTGGGTTCCATAGTAATGGGAACAATGACTGTCTCTGATATATTATATTTTTTTGTCATTAAGAAAGGATGGCCTTTCTTGGAGGGGCTTGTTCTTTTCTAAACAGGAAATGGAGGGGCAGTGGATCTGGGGGAAAAAAGTGGGGTGAAGATCTGGGAGGAGTGGAGGAAGGGGAAATTGTTGTTAGGATAAGAGAAAAATCTATTTTCAAGTAAAAATATGTGAGTATTGAATTTCCCATCATCACATCTAAAAGGGGCTCATTTCATTCAATTTATGTTTTGGATACCCTTGTTAAAAGGTTAGGTGGATTATATTTCCAGGTTCTCTATTCTATTCACTGGTTATACATATTAATATTTGTCAACCCAAAATATAAAGTTCTGTTGAAATTGAGCAGGGGTGTTGGGACTCTGCTATGCATGATTGCTTTCTTTGATAGAGTGAGATGTAAAATAGAACTTATGTTTCTGTTGGTCCATTTAGGAAGTATTGAATTAATTCTATTGTAGGAACTCTCTAAAATTTTATCTCAGGCATTTGTATTCTATGGACGTCAGTTTTCACTGTAATTTAATTCATTCAAGATATTGCAATTATTTCTTATCTTTTCTGTGTGTGCTACATGAATTTTCTGAAGATTTACCATTCTTTTTCCAAGATAACATACGTACTTCCTGAAAATCACATTTATGTCCTTAGAGATGAATAGTATGCTGCAAATAAAAAACAAAAGCCCACATTTTACTGACACAATGATGGCAAGACATTTAAAAATAATGAATTGCTTCAATATCTCTCACCCTATGGACATGCATAAATACATGTACTTATGTAGTTATAATATTAGATATGAGAGGAGAAATTAGGTGTTAGGTGTTTGCTTGTGGATCTATCATAGAATAGAACTATTCTCACAGATATATTCATTTGTTTTTCTACTTAGTATAAAATATGCCAGAGGGTTTATATATATGCATACACATAAATAAATGTATATGTACATATCTGATATGTGTAATATATATTACATTTTATATATATGTATATATATATACAAAACACATGCTTATACACAATAGAGTGCAATATTTCTCTTTTATTCTTGAATTTCTGATTAGTTAAGATTGGAGACCAGCAGTATGTGAAATAAGTGAAGATGAATATAATGACTAGTTGTTTGTGTTAATTCATCTTAAACTATGCTATCTTAATATACTTTTAGAACCCAAATTAGAGTAGGAACACCTAACCAACTGTTTTCATAAAAATCTTCTTTCATCTTTTTCAAGTTTAGATACAAACATAGTTAATATTTTTCTGGGACAAGTGAAATTTCAGCTCTAAAATGCCCTTTGTAGTATGTCTTCCTTGTCATTATCATTAAATAGTTAATAATGTTGAAAGTCTTTCAGATATGGCAAATGACATAAATTTCATGATTCTCCGAGATATAAAATAGATATATTCTCATATTTGAATATTCTTATTGTGTGAAGAAATGAGCCAAACACAATTTAGATATCAAACAATAGTTATTACCCAGATACACTTGTCTAACACATGATGGCATGGCCTAGGTCATTGATGTTGAAATCTGGGGCCTCTCTTTGCTTTATTGGAATCTCATGATTACCTTTGAGATTATTAGTAAATACAAAATTGT